GCTCGCCAGGAAAGCGCTTATTCTACTGAGCCATCTCCCCGGCCCCCAATATTTTATTTTAAGACAACATCTTAGGGCTGAGAAGATAGCTCAGCAGCATAAGCACCTGCCTGGCAGCACAAGATCAGGAGTTCAAGCCCCGGTGCGGGAGGAAAAAAAAAATTGGGGGGGAGGGGTGCCGGGGAGATAGCTCAGTTGTATAAGCGCTGGGCCTGAGTTCAATCCCTGGTTCCACAAAAAGCAAAAACAAAAACCAAAAAAAGACAGCATCTTGAGTCAGGGATACAGCTGAGCAACAGTGCCTGCCTGGCAAGCGCAAGGTCCTGAGTTTGATTTGCAGTACCAAAACATAAAAAAGACAGCACCTTGCGCTAGCTTGCCTCGGCTGGGCTGGAACTTGGAGTCCTGCCTCAGCCTCTCAAGGAGCTGGAATGATAGGCATACAGCATCAGCGCTATTTCATGTGTGCTTTTACCACAATTAAAGACCAGACCGGACTGTCACCCACCCGTGCCCTCATTTCCTGTAAGAAATGATGATTCAGGACCAATGCAAATAAAGACAGGAAGAAGCGCTGGTGTGGAGCGGGCTGTGCGTGCAGCTTGTTCTTATCTTTGGTTTGGTCTTTTGAGACAGGGTCTCCTACGTAGGCCCCCGCTGGCCTTGAACTTGCCACGATCTTCCTGCCTCAGCCTCTCACGTGCTGGGATCGCAGGCGTGTGCCACTGGGCCTGAAGGCCTGTCTCATCCTTTATGACTCTGGGCATTTTGGCCTGCTCCCCAGAGGAGGAAACGGTGGTCCTAATTTCCATGGCTGCTCCTGGTGTAGAAAGACTTGTCGTGTTGTCCTGACTTCTGGGGTGCTTCGGGGCCAGGGTTTTTGCAAGAGTTGCAAGAGTTGTACCTCAGGGAGGAGGTACAGGAATGACCCGAGGGCAGGTTTGTAGCGCTTCCTCCTCCTTCCTGGGCCCAGGCCACCTCCACCAGGGCTTCCCTCCTCCCGTGCACCAGACTCACTGGCATGCCAGTGGACTGACCCATGAGTCATTTAAGCTGATCCATTTCATGCAAACCCAAGAATCGTCCTGAAGTCAGGTTTTTGAGTTTTTGTTCTTTTTTTTTTTTTTTTTTTTTTTTTTTTTTTTTTTTTTTTAATATTCCCTTTTTCTTTTATTTATTTATGTGTGCGTGTGTGGCCAGCTCAGCCCACCAGGGGGCGGGGCTGGCTGGTATGTGTGTGTGTGTGTGTGGCCAGCTCAGCCCACCAGGGGGCGGGGCTGGCTGGCATGTGGTGCTGGGGATTGAACCGTGGTCCCTGTGCTTTGCTAAGTTTGTTCTAAGTAGGTGCTTTAGACCACTGAGCCATCTCACCAGCCCTTTTTATGTCTTTTTGAGTCAGGGTCTCTTTCTGTAGTTCAGGCTGGCCTTGAGCTCACTTTGTAGCCCACGCTGGTCTCAAACTCCTAGTGATCCCTCCTGCCTCAGCTTCCCAAATGCTGGGATTACAGGTGTGCACCGCCATGCCCAGCTTTCTCGATTCCATTTAAACACAAGGAGAAATGAAGGTAATAGAAGGAAAGTGAAGCAGGGTGTGTAGGCCCACATCAGTTATCCCCACACTGGGGAGGCTGAGGCAGAAGGAACTCTGTGAGTTTGAGGTCAGCCTCCAAAAAATAATAAAAGAAAGAAAGTGAGTTGCCCAGAGTCGCGGGCCAAGAGGTATCAGAGCCCAGGCTGGGTCTCAGGTTCTGTGTCCCCTGCAGCGGACCTGTACTCCGAGGAGCCGGGGCAGGAGGAGCCGGCCTGGGTACAGACAGAGCGGCAGCAGTTCCGGGACTTCCGCGACCTCAACAAGGACGGGCGGCTGGATGGCAGTGAGGTTGGCTACTGGGTGCTGCCCCCGTCACAGGACCAGCCCCTGGTGGAGGCGAACCACCTGCTGCATGAGAGCGACACGGACAAGGTACGGTGGGGACAGAGCCCTGTGGGGGGGGGGGGGGGGGGAGCCTCATCTGCAGCACCTGCCAGGTACTACCAGGGCTCGGTTTCCTCCCAGATGACACCAAGGCCCTGTTTCCCCCCGGGGTCCTCACTGACCCCTGTCGCCCACAGGATGGGCAGCTGAGCAAGGCTGAGATCCTGCAGAACTGGAACATGTTTGTGGGCAGCCAGGCCACCAACTACGGCGAGGACCTCACACGACACCACGATGAGCTCTAAGCCCCACATGAGCAAGTGATACAGCTCGTGCAGCCTGGCCCCAGGGGACACTCCTGCCTCAGCCTCTCCTTGGCACTTGACCCTGCTCTCCCCACCCTAGGGTCCCTTAGAGCCCCCAGTGTGGACAGCACCAGGCTCACCACAGGGTTTCCTGCCCAGACTAGGGCTGGCATCTCAGCTCAGCCTACAGGAGCCCTCACCCACTGTACCCCATGTCTGAGCCACCACCACTGACACCCAGAAACTCAGCACTGGTCCTGGGCCTCCCCTCTGCCAGGGCAACAATAAAATCCAGCGATGGGGCCTCTGTGTGTGTCCTTTCGTTGTTGGTGTTTTGAAACACCTAGGCTGGCCTTGAACTCTTGGAGGTCCTCCTGCCTCAGCCTCCTGAGTGCCCTGGAGCTGGCTGGGAGCTGGGACTGGAGGAGGAACATGCGGGGAGCTGAGGGACTGGGACTAGGGGACAGGACAAGCCTAGGAATTGGCTGGAGGTGGAGGTGGAAGTAGGGATATTCTGGGACACAAAAAGTCAGCCTAGCAGGCTCAATGCCCAGTGCACAGACCGGAAGGCTGGCCTTGGGGCAGGCGGTCAGCAGAGCAGAGATGTCAGCAGAAAACACTGCTGCGAGGAAGACAGGGACAGGGCCGGGAGAGGGAGCGAGGGCTGCAGTCCTTGGAAGAGGGGTGTGGGGTGGCGGGGCACAGGGAACAGAGGGTGAGCACTCCAGCCAGAGCAAGCCCAGGTCGGAGGGGCAGGGAGTGGACCGGTGTGGGGAACAGAAGCAGCAGGAGTGACAGGGACAGCAGGGCAGAAACAGGCTTCATAGTGGCTGGGCATGGTGGAGGAGGCCAAAATGGGAGGATCTCCTCGAGTTCACGCCAGCCTGGCGTACACAGTGAGACTCTGTCTCAAAAAAAAAAAAAAAAAGGAAGCCAACTTACAAGGAACTAAAAATTCTAAAATTGTTCTTCTTAGAACTCAAGCCCCACAGCTCTCTCTCCTTTTATCTCTTGGAAAGACTGTGAACCCCAAAGATGAGCGTGGAGAGACGCGATGTGTTTACAGCGCCGAGTGTCCCAGCGCCTGGCCACGGGTCACGTCCTCAGCGCGCGCAGGCTGCAGCCGGCTCAGCAGGGTGCGGTTCCCAGTGTAAAGGACGTGTGCACCTGCGCGTGTGCGTGCGCGCGTGTTACTGGGGCCTTGACTCGAGGGCTTTCCCTGAGCTGCATCCCCAGCCCTTTATTTTTCTATGTTGAGACACTCTTGCTGAGTTGGCCGAGTTGGTCTCTGATTCTCGATCCTCCTGCCTCTGCTTCCCAGAGCGCTGGGATCACTGACTGCCCTGTGCCACACCTGCTTGTTTATTTTTTATTTTTTATTTATTTATTTTTTTTTTGGTGGAACCAGGGATTGAACTCAGTCCTTTGCGCTTGCCAGGGAAGCACTTATTCCACTGAGCCATCTCCCCGGCCCCTTGCTTGTTTATTTTTTAGAGGTGGGTCTAAAATACAAAAAGATACTAAAATTCAGCCAAAGGGTGGTGTAGAACAGCTGGGCTCCAGTAATCCTCCTGCCTCAGCTCCTGGGGTGGCTGGCACCACAGGTGCACCCCAAGTCTTCCAGCAAATAAATTGAGATGCTATCGCCGCTGCCCCAAAGAAGCCCTGGAGTTGGTTTTGTTCCTCCGGAGTGCTGAGAGCTGCTTGTTTGTGTTGAGATAGTGTCTCATTATAGGGTTTAGTTATTTTATTTATGTGTGTGGCCAGCTCAGCCCACCAGGGGGCGTTCTGGCTGGCATGTGGTGCTGGGGGATTGAACCGCGGTCCCAGTGCTTTGCTAAGCTTGTTCTAAGTAGGTGCTTTAGACTACTGAGCCATCTCTCCAGCCCCTCATTATAGGGTTAAGGCTGCATGCAGACTTGCTATGTGGCCAGGCTGCCCTGGAACTTGTAATCCTCCTGCCTCAGCCTCCCCAGTGTGGGGATTAACTTAATAGGTCACCGCATCCAGCTGAGTATTGATTTTTTTCCTAAGCAAACCATTAATTTAATTAACTAAAATAGCAACCTCTAACTTTTCTTTCTTTCATTCTTTTTTTTTTTTTTCCCCCAGTACTGGGATTGAACTCAGGGCCCTGCACTTGCCAGGCAAGTGCTTATTCTACTGAGCTATCTCCCGGCCTTAAATTTTGTTTCTTGCCCAAAGTTTAATCCCAGCCCTTAGGAGACTGAGGCAGGATCAATGTGGGTTTGAAACCAGCCTGGGCTACACAGAGTTCCAGGCTAGTTTGGGATAGGCAGCCAGACCCTGTGTATTTTGTTTTTCCTGTGAAATTTATGACTAAATTTCAGTTCACTTTTTTTTTTTTCTTTTTTAAGGCGTACCTAGGTTTCCTCTTTTTCTTTTTGTTCCCCAATACAGGGCAGAGTTTTTTTGCATGAACTACACCCCCAAGTCCCCATTCTCATCGTGTGTGGGTCTTCAGGGTCTCACTACTACATCCGACTCCTAGTGATCTGCCTGTTTACAGCCTCCCAAGAGCTTGCGGAACCGGGGATTGAACTCAGGTCTTTGTGCTTGCCAGGGAAGCGCTTATTCTACTGAGCCATCTCCCCGGGCCCTTAAGCAGGCACTTCAACCCGCTGAGCTATTTGGCCAGCCCCTCAGATGATTTTTTTTTTTTTTTTTTTTAAACCAGGGCTCAAACTCAACCTGGCGCTTGCCAGGCATGTGCTTATGACGCTGAACTATTTCCCGGTCCATATATATATATATAATTTTTTTAAAGAAGAAAAATCAGTAAAACAAAATTTCAAAACAAGATAATAGGTGAGTAACTAAGGCTAATACATTGTGTGTTATCTTTAGTTACTCAGAGTACAAGATACAGGCATTTAATTGTCCAAACAATAAGCACAAACCTTTCTCGTCAATGAACTAAGAGAAATTAGATCGATATCTGGGCAAAGTTTACAAGTCTCGGATGCCCGTTTCGCTCTGCTTTCCGGAGTCTCGCTTTTTTGCCCCGTCAGCCTGGAAGCTGGGCGCAGCGCAGCGGCCGGCCGGCGTGCACCGGAGCCGCCCGGGCTAGCCGCGGCGCAAACGGGAACCGGCCCGGGGCTTTGGCGTCGCGCGGTTCCCCAGAGCCCTCCGATTTCCGTCTGCTTGCACCGCCCTCCAGGCCTTGGGGGCAGCTGGTTTATTTCATGCGGAGTGCACCACTCCAACTGCGAGCGATACCGCCTCGGAGCCCAAGCCCACTCCTGGCTCCTAACGATGGCGGCGCTGCGCCCCCTAGTGGCTGCGGGTGGGCTCTGCGGGACGCGGCGTAGGGGCAGGGTCCTAAAATGCCTAGGTTGTTGTCATGCTGGGGATGAATCTAGCGTCTGGCCCGTGCTATTCAAGCGCTCCTCCTCAGGCCTTAATTTCTTTTTTTCTTTTTAAATCATTTTGATTTTTTTTTTAATTTTTATTTATTTATTTATGTGTGTGTGTGTGTGT